TGTATAATTTCTTGGTTTTTGCACTGTGCAATAGGCATTTTTGGGCCCTCGCTCGCACCCTGACTTTTTTTGCACACTGCAGACGTCAAAAATCAGTCTGACGACTTTCCGGAAGGACTAATACGAGGCCTCAAAAAAGAATGTCTTCTACTCAAACATAAACCGAATTTTTGGCAACTTTCAATACACACCCATTACCACTATCATACATAAAATACATATTACACACGCAACAAACTTAACACGTTCCAAGTTTCATCGAGAGTTGAACTTGATGACTCATAAATTCCCCTTGTCCGAAAAGCCAACAAGTGTCTGACCAAAAACTTGCCAACTCACCTTATCTTTCACAGTATATAGGCCTCAGAGAGCGAATCGTTATACCTGGAAAAGTCGTCTGGCGTCTGAATGTGCGCAAACTCGTCGTTTGGCACGCCACACCAACTTTTCAGATATTTCGCCGCGCTCTCGAGGTCGCTTACATCAAGGTAGCTTCGAATATAAAAACCCGCTTTTTTCGTGCCGAAGCGCAAATTTTTTTGGCCGAAACATTAACAGCCGTCGTAAAAATTGAGAATTAGCAGATTACAGTAGTAAGTCAAGATGTTACGCATATTACTAATTAGTCAAAGATACAGCGTTTTAGTGCACTACACATGTTTTCCGAGGCCTTTACAAGCCCATAAAGCAATAATTGATGCGAGTAATAATCAGCGAAAAGAGATAAATCTTCGGGCCCAAACCTTGGGCTCCTGGGCCGCTCCGAGGTTTCGCAAATGACTGATGAGCCGGAGATTTCTCCCCCTCCGGCGCTTTATATATTATAAATTGACGGAGCGGCACCTCCTTCGCCCCGCCAGAGCTTGGATTACAACCTGCCCCGTCTCTTTATAACGCCAGTCCCTCTCAATTTAAGGCGTCTTTTAGGCCCCGGCCCCTTCAACTGTCAGCTAACTCACTGACAGCCCGATTTGACATCCATGATATGGCCACTTTTTTCGAGCCTTGAAAACGGGTTCCGATCGCTGCAGAAGGGATAATATTGCGGTTGGGGAAAGGGATTTGATTTGAGGACTTGAGGGCTAAAGTCCAATGAAATTTGAGTCGTGTCAAGCCGAGCAAATGACTAGATTGTCGGTTCAGATCGGTGGATTAGAAGGAGAGATCGGAAATTTTGATCAACCTTGTCATAAATTGAAGTTTGGGCAAGTAAATGGCGTTTAGATGACTTGGAAAAAGCCCTACGAACAACGCTCAAATTTTCGTCAAATTTTGTTGACATGTTCTATCTAGGCCGCGTACCAATTCTTAACGATTTTGACTCATGTTTTGCAGATGCAGAAAAAATATTAGCCACTCGTTTCCGATGAGAGATACTATGTAAAATGCTTTTCTTCGAAAAATTTTTGTTCAAGTTTTGCAGGGACAGCTGCAGCTGAGATATTCAGCGATTTCGTAGAGCAAAGAGTATGATGATTCTCTAATTTTTGACGTGAACAAATTTTTTGAGTTTTTTTTTTGAGGATAAACGATAATTGAAGCACGTCTTTTGCAGGAAAACCCGTGGGTTTTAGATCAAAACTTAGCAAAAATTTCATGAATTTTTTACGAGTTCTTGCCTCTATTCAGTCTAATTTTTATTTACTTCTACCGGAGAGGAAAGATTTCAACAAAAACTCAATTTTTTCGCTCGAAATTGGCAGACCTATCCGCAAAAAGCGTATTTTTCTCTGACTGCTCTCCGCATTTTGCATGCTCTCTCGTCCATAAAGCTTTTCTAAATATCTCGACCGCGCCTGAAAAACGCATGCTGGAATTTTCAAGAGTTTTTCTGTAGCCTAGTTGTACAGGGTGGGGCATCTTTGTGGCCCGATTTGAATTGGCTATAACTTCTTTAGTTTTTGGCCAAATCTTAAAATTCTTTTTTTCCCTGAATCCTCTGTCAACCCCATTTTGTTTGATACCAAATATGTTATACATAGTAAGTGTATATCTACAGTTATTGGATTTATTCTTGGAGTTCATTTTTTCGGTCGTTTTTCGGTTGCTTTTTCGGCCTTTCCCGGTGTGTCAGGAAATGGACTACGGTGCGGAAGAAAAATACGTTGGAATTTCCCATCCCGAAAATCGACGATGAGAATAAGAACAAAAAATGAAGATCAACCTCCAGAGTTCGTCGAATGGTCCTTGCTGAAGGCATTCCCTCGGTTCTGGCCAAACTTCGTGTACTCATATGCGGATTTTCTCGGAATTTTGACAAAACTCCTTAAATTTTCAGCTCCGTTCGTACTCATCTTTCCTGCTTGTTTTGTTTCCTGTTAACGCTGCCAGTCTCAAGGAACTTATTTCACGAACGTCGAATTGTCTTGCGATCTGGAAGTTGGGCATTACGTCCGTATTTCATGCGGTATTCCCTTTGAACATTTATCGCCAAACCGTACTTTCCGTACCAAACCACAGACCAAGCTTTTTCTTGCACACCGGACTCCATTTTCGGACACACCGGGAAAGACCCAAAAAACAACCGAAAAAATGAACTCCAAGAATAAATCCAATAACTGTATATATACACTTACTGTGTATAACATATTTGGTATCAAACAAAATGGGGTTGGCTGACGATTCAGGGAAAAAAAGAATTTTAAAATTTGGCCAAAAACTAAAGAAGTTATAGCCAATTCAAATCGGGCCACAAAGATGCCCCACCCTGTATTATACGATAAAATATAAAATATCTTAGCAGCGCACTCTGGAAAAAAATTTCTTGCTGTTACAGTAATTTTTGATGACAAAAACACTGTTTCTCGCTAAAAAAACTATTTTTTTGTTGCTCAAATTAGATATCATTTTCTCATAGGTGCGGAAGTCCAATTTTTGGCCATCGAAAAAAGAAATCTTTCTGAAGGGCCAATTATTGAAATTTGGCGAAAAATTACTTGAACCAGCAATTAATTTTACAATTATTAGATTGTTTAGAGTATGAGCAATTACCAAAATTCTGCCAAAAATTGGAACCGTCATCGGATATTTACAATTATTTTTTCGCGCCGAATTGGCAGACAGATCGGCAAAATGCGTTTTTTCTGTGGCCGCTCTCCGCATTTCGGGCACTCTCTCGTCCGAAAAGATAGTTGAAAAGCTTGGCTGTGCTTATAAAATACAGGCTGAATTTTTCACGAGTTGATGTGAGGACTATAAAGAAAGAGAGCGCAAAATTTTTACAAATTTGTGCAGTTACTAAGTTGCGTATTTTAGCTCAAAAAAAAACTCACCTTACAAATTTCAATCCCAAGATTTTGTGCTCGAAAATTCGACTGCCGATTAATTAACAGGGAGAGGGAAGATCGCAAAGTGTTGTTTGAAATGAATCCACAGCCGTGGCCAGGGCGAAGAAGCGCGGCCGGGCGCGGCTCAAATTACCTTGAAAACCGAGCCATCTTCTCTTTCCCGATGAAAGGTCCCTCGTTTTATCTTATTATATGACAAAAATTCTCGACCCTTTGTTCCCGCCTCGGCTACAATACGCGCCTAGAATACGAAAAGAATGCAAATACAAATTTTTGGCCACACCGGGTGGAATTTCGGCCAAAAGAATCTTTTTTTGACAAGGACTACTTTTCGACGGGATATAGCTCAAAAAATTCGAAAAATTGTGCTGATCAAGAATGTATAAAATTTAGCCGCAAAATTTTGGATTTTAGGGTCGAAAATGCCCAAAAATTGGCTTAACTTTAATACAAGAGGGGCAGGCATTATAAACGATAAAAGCGTTTTCGGTCTCTTCCTGAAAAAGAGAGCCACACCGTTGGCGCGTAATGGAAAAGTGATTTTTTAGCTTGACGACGCCATTATTGAGTGAAAAAAATCGGAACGAAACACCACAAACTTTGATTTACCACGACCGGTTTTGCGCCGAAACGGTTGATTGATATATCGAAATAATTGTGCTTACATCATTTTAAGCTAACAGGGAAAGTACTCCAAATGCGACGCTCAGATTTTCTTAAAATTTTGCACACAAGTCGGGTATGGACTAAATATCAATTCCTGAAAGTTTAAGCTAGCGCTTTGCGGGCGCTGCCGATATATTGAAAGATTTTTGCCGCCGAGAGAGCACGCTAAACGTGGAGAGCGGTCAGAGAGAAAAGCGGTTTTTGGCCATAACTTTGGCAGTTTCGTGCGGAAAAATTTGATTTTTTGTAGAGACATTATCCTTTACGGTTGAAATAGGCATGAAACTTTTCGTGCCGAAATTCGGCACTCTGTTCTTGATCAGCATAATTTTTCGGATATTTTGACTTATGTCCCGTCGAAAAGTAGGAGCCCCATAAAAGTTCTTTCCTTGTGAAAAATCATGAGAAAAATAAAAAATCTTTTTTTTTGCACAAAAACACCATATTTTTCCTATTTTTTTAATTTCTGAAAGGGTTCAAAAGCCCAAAAATTTAATAAGCAGCAGTTGTTGTTCGAATATCCCTACTCAAATTACCTTTTTATGTCCTTCAGAAAAAATTTTAAAAATTGAAAAAAAAAATTTTTTTGAATACTTTATTTCCAATGCTAAGATCAAGTTAAAACCCGATAAAAATCGAGTGAGAAAATAACTAAGTTACAATCGAATCCGCTGATATCAAACTGGAAGCACAATAAAAGCAAAACAAAGAGTGGGTTTTGGGGGATTGAGGACGGAAAACTTTGGTTATAACCCGTTATTACATAATAGACGAAAAAAGGAAAAGAATGGATAAGATTGGAGACCCTCGGAGGACCGGCTTAGGAACACAAAAATGGGGGAAATTTTGGGATTTTTTGAACTTTTTTGAAGAAAAAAACTTAAAAATTTCGCCAGAAAATGAAAAATTTTTTTAGGCACCAATTTCAAAAAACCGCATTTTAAAAAAGTATCCAAATCCCTCAAAAAGGATCCAAAAAATCCCAAAACTCAAATTACAGTGATCATCGATTTTATACAGCAATCCATAAACAAGAAACGGCGCTGGTCATTTCCACACTGCCATATTATGACGTTTACTGTAGGCATCGACCAGTTTCTCGAGGGTGGTGTTCAATATTTGGTTCAATCTTTCCATTCCCACCTTGTTTTTGAACACAATCAAGCAGATGACACAATCGCGGCGGACGGTGCTGGCATTCGAGGACTCGTAGATCTGAAATACGGCAGGATTAGAAAATTAAATTAAAGTTGGCGAGACAACGAAGCGTATTTTACCCAATTCAATCAGATTTCCTTTATTTTGTCAATTTTACAACAAAAAATCGGAATTTTTTTTCAAATCCCCAAAATTTTTTCCGTAAAAAACCCAATTATATCCTTCCTTATACAATTTAGCATCTTTGAGGCTTTTTACAATCTTCCTCATTCAAAAAAAAATCTCAATTTCCTCAAAAAAAAAACGGAAAATTCCCAAAAAATCCCAAAATTTCATTAAAAAATCAAATTTTTTCCATCAAAAAAATCCAAAATGTTCCCTTCAAATCACGTCATCTACCTCTACTGACTTTATAAAACATTTTGCCTTCCCTAAATTTCCTCATTCAATAAAATTTTTTTTAAAAATTTTCCCCCGAAAAAGAAAATTCCATAAAAAACCCTCACTTTTTCCTCCAAAAAATCCAAAAAAAAAAGAAAAGAAAAAAGGGTTCCCACTAAAATTCTCTCTCCCACCACTGCCCTATCAAACTCTTCCTCATTCCCTAAACTATTCATTCCACCTAAAAAAACCCCAACTTCATTTCAAAAATCACAACGATGTCCAAAAAAATCCTGTTTTCATCCCCATCTCCATACACCATCCCTTCACGATATACGGAGTTCTCCTCCTCCTAAAAAAAGCCCCAGCTCACCTGACAAAGTACTGGGACCACTTCATCGACCATGCTTTCCACCGAGTCCGGGTCCGTTTTATGCAACACATAGGGCAGTAACTTGAGTTTGGCGCAGACCTTCTTGGTGGGGTCTGTGGGCTTGGTTTGCTTCACCAAGTTCAACAACGTCGGTAGGATCACATGACTGGGGATGGAATTGGAAATTTCGACGTATAAATCCTCGACTTCCTTGTGCAATTGGAGCTCATTCTCTTCCAGGTTCAAAATCTCGGTGATTAAGGTGTTAATTCGCTGGGAGATTCCTTTTGATTGCTTCACCAGGGCCTTGACCAGTCTGACGGCGGCGCAGCGGACCAGATTCTCCACATCCGGGTTGCAGGCGAGGTCGAGGGCGCGGCTGAACATCTGAGGGAAGTAATAATCCATCTGGATGACCTTGTTGTCGCCCACCAATCGGGCCAGCTGATCCAGGGCCTCTCGGGCTTCGGGGTTCGAGAGCAGGCTACCGTCAGTTCGGGGTTGGGTCTTCATCAACAACCCGTGCACATCCTCGGTTCCATTTCGGTCCGACACGGACATGGAGGACATTTGGCTGGTCAGTTGTGTCACAGTCCGTTGCTGAGGTCGATAGACTGGAGTCGTATTTTTGGAGGGGGTAATGATGGCCGAGGGTTGTCGGAGGTTTGACGGGGTTCGTCGACCACCCTGAAAATCAAATTATTAGCAAAAAAATCAAGACTCTTTACAAAATAATCAAAATTTTAGCCCGCAAACAAAAAATTTCGTCAAAACAACAGTTTTTTCGATGAAAAAAATCAAGTTTTACCTCGGAACCCATATTTTTTTTGCAAAACAATCACTTTTTATACCCGAAACGTTTGTTTTCAACACAAAAAACAAAAATATTATATTACACTAGACACTTCCATCTAAAAATTTTCAAAAATCTCAAAATTTTCCCAAAATTACGTCCGAAATTCACTCAAAAATGCATTTCAAACCCCCTAGAAGCCAAGAATAATCATGCCAACAATAACAAATTTTCTCAGGAAGGACATTTCTCAACCCCATGAGGCCAAATTTAAGCGCTTTGGGAAGCCATAAAACAGAACCTACGTAAGGGAAAACTCAAAATATTATCCGAAATCCATAAAAACCAGAAAAAAACGGATAGAATTTTTGCTAAAACAAGGTAAAAATTCTTGTTCAAAACACCTTCTCCATCCTAAAAAAACAACAAAAAAAACATCAAAATCTCACCTCAGAATTTCCATTGGCGACTTTGGTCGGGGATGGGGATCGCATCTGTCTTACATGGTGGATCTTTGGCTCTGAGACTTGTCTGAATGGTTGCTGTCGACCCTTCATGTCGCCATTGACCGGGCGTGGCGGGACAACGGCCGAGCCTCCGTTTCCGTTGATGCGGCGTTCGTTGAGGACTCGAGATCGGATGGCTGAGCTGCTGGAGGATGTTTGGATGGGTGTTTGGGTTGGAGTGGGGCGTTGGCGTTTCGGGGAGGCGTTCCGGCTGCTTGCTGAAAATTTTTTAAAAATTATATGTAGTACAATATCAAAAAAAAAAACAATAATAAATTAAGAAAAATAGGTACGCCGACTCTTCATTTTGTCCCTAGTTTCTATTTATCCATCTAATTTCAACTTTTCAAAGATTCCAGATATTATTTTAGTCAAAAAATTGAATTACACTAGCTAAAATTTTACGAAAAAACTTGTAAATTTCAGGTTCCACCAGCTTAAACAGACTCAAGAAGTCTTCATCTGCCTTCAGTAATTGCATTTCATTCACTACGACCACATTTTGAACCAAAATTTATATTGTACTAGATAAAACCCCACTCAAGTTTCCACTTTTCCCCTCAAATAACTTCCCCTATTCAAAAACCTTCATTCCATCAATGTATTTAACGTTTTCCTCAACTTACGTTGACTTTTCGTCGGAATATTGCCCCCTGTAGGTAATGGATTGCTCGGTTTCCTTTGATTCGCCAAAATTCTAGCCGATGCTGCGGACATTGGCTGCCTCAATTTGTGCGAGGTCATGTCGGACTTGGCTCTCATTGGGATATACGTGGATTGTGCAGTTCGGGTTCTGGCGGTGGGAATAGCACGAGCCGAAGACATCGCCGAGAACTAAAATAAGAAAAATTTTAGCGAAAATACATGAAAATAAACTAAACAGCGCCGTAAAGCGGCTTATCACATCTATAAAAATCTGTGTGATATAACAATAAGTCAAGCAATCGTTAAAATACATCAACTTTTATCAAAAATGCCTAGTGTAAAATGAAAAACTGCAGTTATAGTAAATTGCAGTGTTGCTTAGAACCCCTTTGGCCATAGACATAATGAATGATTCTATCTGTATCATCTTCCGTTCAAATTCATCAAAAATTTTGTCCATTTCGATAATTTTCATCAAAATTTGCCTAGTGTAATATCCCAAAACTTATAGTTCGGGGATATTCATCTCATTCTAATCAAAACTTTTCTTCATCCTCCCTAAAAGTCAAGAAAACGCCAAAATAAACCTGAACTTACCCCTGATATTTTGGCTTCGGCCATCTGAATAGCTTCTCTAGAAAATTTTCTTGCCGTTGGATCCGCATCAACAGAGCCCTTCTCCAACGCTTGGAATAACAACTGAACATTCTTTTGTAACGTATCTTCCGGCCATTCCTCCACAATGGTGTATAACATTTGCGAGATCGTGGCGCGGATCAATTTGTTCTTGCTACTTTTCAGTTCCTCGAAGAGCATTTGCAAGAAGGTTGGGTTTCGAATGTACTAAAATGAGAAAAATTACTCTCTCCTAAAATGTTGTGGACAATGATCCCCCGTAACCCACCTTGCATATGTACTTGAGGGCTATAATTCCACTTGTTGCCATGATTTTTGTAGACTGGCCGGAGAGCCGAAGTAAATCCGGTAGTAATCCTTCGGATTGCGACTTGAATTCGTGCCCAATCTGGGCAGCAACGTACGCTACTGTCATGCAAGCATCCCGTGCTACTTGCGAGCGAAGAGAACTGACTGCTTGGCGAATCTCATCTTGGATACTCAGCATTCTCGATGCAATGGTTTTCCCATCAAGTTCACCAAATTTCACGATCGATCTGATTTCTACTAGCTGAAAATAATAATTTTTAGCTATTCCAAAGCATATAGATGCCCTGAATACCCAGTTCAGCCTAGAAAACCATCAAATTTACGGAGAAAATTCGATTTTTATATTACTTTACCATCTACTAAAATCAGATAAATATTTGACAGAGTAATTCACAAATCGTCCGGAAAATTTAAGGTCTAAAAGACAGAACAACAATCACAGATTCTATTCCAAAACTAATATTCATCGGAAGATTCAAAATCCCACAAGCAACCATCAATTTATATTATACATGAGACAGATGTCTCAGAATCCATTTCTATCCGACTTTTTACCTAAAACAATAAAAAACAAATGAAATAGCCTTACTGAGGCGCAAGTCGTCATCCAGTTAGCTGCTTCATTGTTTAGCGACTTCGCAATAGCTTGGAATCTCTTGTCCAAATCTCGGGGTATCAGAGGCTAAAATATAAAATATTTATCGCTCGTAAAAAGTATATGGACACCTGAAATAGCTGTAAAAAACTCACCACCATATGTGGGATCTTCTCAAAGGCCTCCTCAAAATCTGCTTCCGACAATGCCCCTGCATCCCCACTGCGGATTCGAGCACTCATTTTAGCAGAATATCTGAAACAAAATCGGTTACAGAACAACAAAAATCTCGCGGAAATAACGCGTTCTCACGGATAAAAACGTAGTAACGACCCCGAACATTAATTTAAAAACAAAAACAACTTTTCCACGAAAAAATAAGATTTCGGCAGGCAAGTGCAATATAAATTAATTGGACAAAATAAACTCGAAAAACTACAAAAAAAGAAGGGTTTCAGTGTAAACACTGGTAAATTTCGCTGAGATTCGCCTTGCAAACCGAGATGCATGAATCACACAGAAAAAGAATCAGAATGTCGAAATGTTTGACCTTGAACATGCTGAAGAGCCGATCAAAGAAATTTCCCTGAATTGGTTCGGAAAATCGTTGAAATGGATAAGGTTTGGCTATCTGGAAAAGAGGATCATGCATGGGTACTTCCACATTCATGGAATTTTGTTTTCTTTCGGCAACCAAACGCATTTTTCCCGCTCTGAGCTGCGCCCGAGAGTGCGCAAATTTTAGAAGAGGACACTTCATACGATGAAAGGTGTTTATGGCCAAAATTGGGTTAAATTCGAAGGATGTAAGCCACGATTTTATTCGAAGTACATTATGGACTGTTTTGATTCTGAACGGTTTCTACAACTGTGTTGGAAGCTTTTGATATGTTTCTTTCTGTTGCCTACTATAATATACGGCGAAACAGCTCTAACTTGATGCATTGCTAAATTAAGTCTCTGAAAATCGTTGACAACAAAAAACGCAGTGCCATGATCAAGGAAATACCATCTAAAAAGCCTAAGATTAATACACCAGCCCAGAATTATCTTATCCATGACATCAAACCTAACCCGAAGTTCTCATTTACTGCAGCCTCTCTAAAACTCTCATTAAATTGCCCACCTAACTTTCGCCTGGCCCCAAATGGTCGGGAGTTGAACGAGAGTCGAAAAAAATGAACATGAGACACAAAGATTAGTTTCAGCCGTTTTGGAGGCCAAAAAAGGCGGCCGAACCGAAAAAAATTGGAGCCAAGAATTTGTGTTATAAACAAACGATGCGTTGGACCTCTATAGGGTTTGGAAAGGCTTCTCAAGCCATTAATTTAGGTTTCTGAGGAGATTTAATGAAAGAGAAACAAAAATTTTTGGGCTTTATCTAAAAAAACCTTAAGAAATTGGGAATAAAACGGAAAAATGAGAGAAAATTGATATCCCAGTGTAAGATCTGGGGGTTTAAGGCAACTTACGGGCCGCAGAGAGACGATTAAAGATTATAATTTTAGCAGAAATACAAGTTTTTAAAAGATTTTGACTTAAAAATTATCCATGACACATCTTCCGAAATTGTCGAAAATTACAGTAAGCTTACAAAAATTCTTGTGCCAAAAGGTTTAAATCCTATTTAAAAGGTCTTAGTGACGTCATGTGTCATTAAAATTCTGTATCGCTAACTGCTTTTAGCGTTTTTGGGCCTTATCTTCTCCATGATGACCAAATCAAAATACTCAAAATTACAGTAACCCCCACTCCCTAAATCAGCAAAAGTTCTATTACAATTTCCTTCTCACATTCCAATTTCGAAGCCCTATAGCTCTCTTTTCCCTTATAGCCAAAAAAGACCGCTATTTTTTCGCTTTAAATCCCTTAAGGGCATTTTTGTCTCCGGCTTCCTTAGCTCATCAAAAAATAAAAAAAAGAAGAGATGGATACTCGCAAACTTTCTACAAAACCTGACCAGAGGGGAATACGAGATGAAAATAAAGGTTTTGTAAAAGCGGAAGCATCCCGAAAGTGTGCTTTCAAGACGAAATGAGAGGCGACTCGCGCGCTTTGCACCTTTTCGAAATTGGCATAACGTTACAGGCGTTTGTTTTTTGCGTTTTTTTCAGTGTTTGAGAATGGTTTGGTGGTCAGTTGGGGTGAGGGAGATGAGTAATTGTGAGAAAAGTTTTGTAGAAAAACAAAAGTTTTAGAAAAGGTCAGCAAGATAAAACAATGAAAGAAATTGACGAATTCTAAAAGAGAGTTTAAAGTACGCGCGTCGCCATAACTAGGGAACACTTGGCCATTTTTTTAAAATAAATCGCGTCGAGACCAAAATTAACTTGAAATCGTACGTGTGTACGGTAGAAAAAATATTTTTTTGCGGCTGCAGCCGGAAATTTTGTTGTTTGATATCGCGATGGATTGATCTCAGTAAGTTATTTTATGTTTATTTTTGCTTGTTTCTAGACGGCGAGCTCAGGGACGGTTAGAGAAGGTCGTTTACTAGTTTTTTTTATGATTTCTTTCAAAATTTGTCAGATTTCCTTTCTTCTCGTGAAAAATGCTATCTTATCCATGATTTGTTAGTATTATCGTCTAAAGAAGCTGTGAAAAACATGAACAAGCGCTCTTCTGTCTGTTTAAATTACTATTTAGACTGAAAAACCATTTTTTGAAAAATCCGATATTATCCATTTATTTTGCTTGAATTTTTCAGTTTGTTCACGTCAACCAATGGACTACCACCATACCTCCTACAGCAACTTCGACTCCTTCCCCTCCCGATTATCTGTGATTTGCAAGAAGCCGTATTATTCCCTCCAACATTTCCTCTTTACTTTTTCAGAATCAAGATTTATAATATAAATTTATTAACCTTCTCTTATGTCTTTATTGTTATTATTATTCAACGCGTTATAATTATAAGTCTCCACTGCGGAGGATGTGGGCTTTGTGACGGCATCGACTTCATGATCATGCGCGAGTTCTGTTGGAGTAGGAGGCGGGCCGTTCCAGGAAGAAGCACGAAGTCTGCCTCGTAGATAATGACATCCAGATCGCAGGGGATCTTGTCATTTTTGACACGTTCGCAGAGAGTCCTAAAAGCGAGTAATCAATGTCAAAAATTGAACTTACTTCATACTTGGAACCCACGTATCGATCCCATGTTTCGTTAAAAAAATCTAAAATACAGCTAAATATACACGAACCACAAACGATTTATTTATAGAAATTATAAACACACTGATCCACGAATCCGACAATTCGTCAACAACGCAACAAATAATTCTCGGCTCCAGCCGCAGAAAAATTATTTTTCTACCGTACACACGTACGATTTCAAGTTAATTTTGGTCCCGACGCGATTTATTTTAAAAAATGGCCAAGTGTTCCCTTGTTATGGCGACGCGCGTACTTTAAAATTCAAAATTGACTCGTAGGAGCGATCATTCAAATGCAAAAATTTCTTTTTTTAAAATTTAAAAATTTCAAAGAATTTCTGAAAATTTTGCACGGTGCAAAGAATTGTACTTTTTGCACTGTGCACAGTGAAAAAATAGGCCAAAATTCGTCTTGCACGGTGCAATAAACGCATTTCTTCGCACAGTGCAATATTTTTCAAACTTTCATGCTTATTTGAAATTTAAGCCGACTTTCTCTTGGATACAATCTTTAAAAGTTTATTAAAACAAGTGTCTAATAATTTAAAATTCACAGTAAGTTCATATTGCAATTTCGGCACCACGACATTTCCGGAATTTGGACACTTCCGGAATGGCGGAATAGTGACACTTCCGGAATGGCGGAACAGTGACACTTCCGGAACCGGGGAAAAATCAAAGAAGAGGCTTAGACCTGCCATCTGAACCATCTGACTGGATTTATTGTTATTAATCTCAAAAATTTTGTTATTTTTTTTCTGATTGTTACTTTTTTCTTAAGTAGTAGTGTTAAAAAGTAATTTTTTGGAATTTTTCCAAAAATACTGGATTTAGGGGTTTTCGAGGGTGCTGATTTCGAAAATCATGTTAGCTTTCCTCTTCATAGTACTATCTGGTACTATACAGTACGAAGTGAAAATATGGCTTTTGGCGTTAATGGTGTTGTTTTGATGCTTGGTACTCCTCAAAAACACGTTTTAAATAATTGGTACTGTTTAGTACTGTCTGGTACTGTGTAGTACAAGGTAAAAATTTGGCCTTTAGGCGTTAGTGGTGTTGTTCTGTTCCTTAGTACTCCTATTTTCACCTTGTACTACATAGTACCAGACAGTACTAAACAGTACCAATTATTTAAAACGTGTTTTTGAGGAGTACCAAGCATCAAAACAACACCATTAACGCCAAAAGCCATATTTTCACTTCGTACTGTATAGTACCAGATAGTACTATGAAGAGGAAAGCTAACATGATTTTCGAAATCAGCACCCTCGAAAACCCCTAAATCCAGTATTTTTGGAAAAATCGCAAAAAATTACTTTTTAACACTACTACTTAAGAAAAAAGTAACAATCAGAAAAAAAATAACAAAATTTTTGAGATTAATAACAATAAATCCAGTCAGATGGTTCAGATGGCAGGTCTAAGCCTCTTCTTTGATTTTTCCCCGGTTCCGGAAGTGTCACTGTTCCGCCATTCCGGAAGTGTCACTATTCCGCCATTCCGGAAGTGTCCAAATTCCGGAAATGTCCTGATGCGGCAATTTCACATGGATTTGAGTGAAGACGTAAGTATAGTAATATTCAAACAAGCTGCACCGCGATTTTGAGTTTCATTTTCATCATTTTGGAAGAGTTCTTCACTTCCACAGTCACTTTGGAGTCTTTGTCGATTTCGATGACTCCCTCTTCGGCCAATACTGGGGTAATCATCCTGAATCGGGGATGGAGATATTCGTGTTTACCTGAAAAACAAGAAAAAATAAGTTTTTTCCAACCAAAACGAACCAATTTTTTTTGAAAAATTGTCATCAAATTTTCATATATTTTATGAATAATCCAAAAATCAAGTGTTAAAAAATTTATTTCGTATTTCTTAGCGGGGCTGAAATTTTCATCTCTCAGTTCACGAGAGAGTACAGGGTGGGGCATCTTTGTGGCCCGATTTGAATTGGCTATAACTTCTTTAGTTTTTGGCCAAATCTTAAAATTCTTTTTTTCCCTGAATCCTCTGTCAACCCCATTTTGTTTGATACCAAATATGTTATACATTTTAAGCGTATATCTACAGTTATTGGATTTATTCTTGGAGTTCATTTTTTCGGTCGTTTTTCGGTTGTTTTTTCGGTCTTTCCCGGTGTGTCCGAAAATGGAGTACGGTGCACCGCGGTGTGGAAGAAAAAGCTTGGTCAGTGGTTTGGTACGGAAAGTACGGTTCGGCGATAAATGTTCAAAGGGAATGCCGCATGAAATACGGACGTAATGCCCAACTTCCAGATCGCAAGACAATTCGACGTTCGTGGAATAAGTTCCTTGAGATTGGCGGCGTTAACAGGAAACAAAAAAAGCAGGAAAGATGGGTACGAACGGAGCCGAAAATTGAAGAAGTTTTATCAAAATTCCGAGAAAATCCGCATATGACTGCACGAAGTTTGGCCAGAACCGAGGGAATGCCTTCACTAAGGCCCCTTCGACGAACTCTGGAGGTTGATCTTCACTTTTTGTTCTTACTCTCATCGTCGATTTTCGGAAGGGGAAATCCCACCGCACGGCAACCCGAAGTGTTTCCTGGCTCCTTTCGATACTTCGCCCATTTTGTATCGGTTGAAATCAAACGAAATGTCACAAAAGAATTTTTTGTGGGTTTTTCCGACCGAAAAATATTTTTCTCGGAATTATTTTATTTCTGTTCTCAATTTTGACACTTCGTTTGGACGAAACTCAAAAGTGGGCGGGAAACATTTTTCTTTTATTTCGGGTTGCCGTGCACCGTATTTTTCTTCCGCACCGTACTCCATTTCCGGACACACCGGGAAAGACCGAAAAAACAACCGAAAAACGACCGAAAAAATAAACTCCAAGAATAAATCCAATAACTGTAGATATACACTTACTATTTATAACATATTTGGTATCAAACAAAATGGGGTTGACAGAGGATTCAGGGAAAAAAAGAATTTTAAGATTTGGCCAAAAACTAAAGAAGTTATAGCTAATTCAAATCGGGCCACAAAGATGCCCCACCCTGTACATAAAATGAAGAGAGAAGGTCAGACAGAAAAAAGTTTTTATAAGTTTTTTATAACTTTTAGTCACTCCCCTTCTACCTTGCACAAACCATTAGCAAAACAAAAAAAAAGTTTTAGGATGCCCTATAAATCAAGCCTCAAAACTTACCAGTGAAAATACAGAATTCGAAATCTCGATTGGCCATCAATTCATAGACTAGTTTTTGTCCTTTTTTGGCGTCATATGTCTTGCTGTATGCTTCAGAACTGTTAATGTAGAATGTTTCGTATTTCACTCCAGTTATGTGATTTTCTTGCCATACAAGGCCATCCGTCTGAAAATGAATTATTAAATGATTCGTCGTATTTTACGCTTGCTTAATATTTCTATTTATATGCATATTTGATTTTTTACGGCATCTTATCGTATAAAATGTTTGAAAATTTAGGTTAAATTCAATTTCAAATTGAATTATCTGCAAAACAAAGAAGCCATTACCTTAATTTTTTTTTATCTATGACTTTACATACAAGTCTTTTTCTAGCCAAAAATTTTAGTTTTTCACCATAAAAAATGTTTGGTCGTATAAAATGTCCATATTTTAAAAATTCAAACCCTTACCAGATAATCGTCCTTGCCCATCTCCTTGGGTTTGTCGCATCCATTTTGATAGTCAGCATTGGGGAACTCTTTATCTCCCTCGTATTCCAAGGGAATCGCGGTGGGATGCAAAACTTTCGCCATTTCCGCGGTATTGTGGGCAAATGTAAAGCGGTCCATGACTCGCTCTGGTAGGATGAATGACATTATCTGAAAAGGTTAAGATGATTGTAAAATACGCATTGTAGGATTACATTTCTTATACCAAAATCTTCTGGGAAGAATAGACCTGGTTAATCCTGTAATTTTTTTGTAGACGACCCGGGACATGACGTCTAGATTTTTTTCAAACGTGCTTTTATAATCTAAATAGGTCATTTATCATCTCTTAAAGATTTTACCGCTCTTTATGAACATAGGAACGAGGTATTCAACGATCTTTCACAAGCGACAGATCATGAGATATGTTTGAACAAACAAGCTTTTTCATGTGGACTCGTATATAGGAACCTCTATATAAAAAACCTCCGCACAACGGAAACTATCTATTACAAACTTTACAGGGTACTCCGTATTTTACCCATCAAGTAAATCTTGAAAAAAATTAAAACCTAATACTTGCCTTTTCATGCCACTACAAATTTCTCAACTCACCTTAAAAACGGCTCCCAAAAATCTCGGTGGATTGGCGATGATGACATGCTTCAAAAGCTCTCCGTAATATTCCAACCAGATCTCTACTCGATACTAAAATAAAACTTTTATGTCGTTCCTCGTATTTTACCTGAAACATCCGATTGATCGGCGAGACGGGATTGGCATAATTCAGCATGCTCATCAACTTCATATCAAAAATACAAATTCCATGCGATTTTTTGCCGGTTTTCTTCTCATGCTCCATTACGATCCGTTGGAAGTACTCGCAGTAGCCGAAGAAAACTTTAAGGTAATTTCCAACTCTGATCGATTTTACTACCTACAAAAATTGATAGTTTTTAGCGCTGAAAATGCTCTGGAAGGAAAGTTCTTCAAGTGCGAAGCTTCGATTTTCTTTTTTGTAGACTTGTTATGCATTTTGTAGACTTTGCCTACATATAAATTTCTGAACAAAATTCGGAGTGGTCAGAGAAAAGGTTGTGTTTTTTCTTTGCAAATTTTGAGCGGAAAAATGTATCTCTTATAGAAATGCAAGACATAAAAATATTAGTGGCAGAGGAAGGTAAAAAACAATAAAAAAGGTTTGTAAAATACGAGCGAGTCTTCTGTGCGCGTTTTTGTAACTTTGCGGTCTTCAAAAGGGCATAACCCTGATTTTTTAAAAATACGCCGCCCAACGTTGTAAAGGCAAGCCTTATAATAACTTCAAGGCGTTCAGGAACTACCACGACTCCAAATATCAGTTATAGCGGCCACATTCGCTCAGATTGTCGTTAGATTTACGACCGAGCCCACTTCTGCCAAAACCCGCCATAAAAAACCCATTTTTCGACAGTCAATTTTTTATTTTTCAATTGAAAAAAATTTAGTTTGCTCATATTTTTTTCCTGAAAATTTACGTACCTTGCCAGGCTCGGGGACTCCTGTTTCCGAGAAGACGATTCCATTGTCTTGCGGGTTAACCCAAGAAGAGTCCAAACGGGACAAACTGAAGAAATCGTAGTACTCTTTCACATCGACTCGTTCGTAAAAGTTGTCCAAACTTCCGGGTTTATCATAGCCGAGAGCTTTGCGATTGGCCGCGTATTCTTTGAATTTAGCCACGGCACTTGCAACGTTCTGAAAAGTAGAAAAAAATTTACTTTTTTTGAAATTTTTTTTTTCAATTTCAAATTTCAAAATATTGGAAAATCAAATTTTTACACCAGTCATAGTATTTTTAAAATACGACAGCTTGTCCTACCTTTTCATGGTTCATAATCCATCGATCCACATTGAAGTCGGTGTCCAGCTCCTCGGGCAAAATGCCCTCCAAATCTTTTCTGAATTGACTTCGATGCTCACTCAATTCGGCAGCCATTCGACCCTGAAAAAGTTCGAAAATCAAGAACGTGTTGGATGGCAGTAAATATGATTCAGAGAGAAAACAAAGTTCGGAGAAGAGGAGAGGTCGTCATAAAGTCATAACATTATATTTCATTGGTGGGTAAAAACATGTTTTTGAAAAGGGAATAATTGAAAATAAAAATTGACTCATTTATGCCAAGCTTTGTTAAAATATGAGTATTGAAATTCTCGGATTTAGACAAACTTCTGTATAATGAACTGCCGCATTACGAAACCTGTTTGTTAACAAGCAATTTTGGGGGTCCTAAGGGTCACTTTTAGTTCAAAATGCACCTCAACGCAACGACCTTCCTATAAAGTATTTTTTTTGGCTCCTTGTGATTCGTTGTACAGAGGGGTAGCAATAAAAACTAAAAAAAAATTGAAATTGATGTAAAATACGCATTCTTTCATGCCTTCTTTTTAAAGGGCAGAATAAAATTATATCACTTATATTTACAGTATCGACCTCTTAAACTTTTTTTGGAATCATTAAAAATACAGGCAATTTCCAAAATCACGACTAATCGCCGCAACGATACAATTGAACACTTATAATAGACCACCCATTCAAAGCAAAACTCTTGAGAGAAACCCGAAACACACTCGAAAAAAGTAAGAAGTCGGAGTGAAAATCCAAATCATCGCCCCCAACTGACGGGATTCTCACCAGAAAACCCTCCGAATTTTGACCCAAAAAGAAGAAGGAAGGGGAAGATCCGCTCCACGAGATCGCTGCCCGCAGGCGAACCGCACGGAGGTAGATTTATCTACCCATTTTTTGGTCGGCACCAGGTCTGAAGTTTGAAAAAATAAAAAGAAAAATAAAGAGGGTACGCAAAATTTGCAGTTTGTGGTTTGTAGTGAAATTCTGGCGAATATGTCATAACATCCATGGTAAATTTGAATATCATTCTGCGAGAAAATAAACTGATTTTGGACCTCCTTTGCAAAAATTATTCATTGTCCGTCTGCCGGGAAAATAATATGGATTCTCACGCCATTTAATCGCCCTCCCCTCTTCGCTCTGCCGCCGCTAGCGGCGGCTGGAGATCTGGCGCGCGACAGCAGCGAGACGAGAAATTTTGATACCTCAAATCCACTTTATTTTCCCGACGGACAGATAATATAGCGTAGTTGCAACTGTCGCAGAGAAAAATGATTTATCGCTGAGAAAATCGGAAATCGCGCGCCACATACCGTGGCGGACCTGATCCATCGGCAAAAAAACGTGCCATTTTGGATCCGGGGAGTAGCAAAAACGCAGAAAGTACCTCAAACTCCGATTTCAAAAGCACGCTCGCTCTTTTTGTGAAGGAAAGGGCGCGCATTTCGAAACGGAGTTTTTTTTTATTGTAGTGGGAGGTATCTTGCCACATTTTCGATACTTCCCGGATGCAAAATTATACGTTTTTTGCCAATGATCAGGTTCCTCACTGTAAGACAAAAACCAAATATGCCCTGTGCAAAAGATGTTTTGGGTCAAATGCACTGTGAAAAACACTTTTTTTTTTGCGATTTTTGCAGCGACGCGCCAAATGGTGCAAGACCGCACTATGCAAAATTATCAGGATTTTTTGTATCGGGAACTACATATGTGGGTTGATGGTCGAACATCAAGAGTAAGTCGTCACAAGAATCCACGACAGTTTTTTTGTCCTGCGTTGTTTCTCTAAAAACGTGTATGAAAATGGCTAGTTCTCAGAAATTATGCAAATTTATGAAATCTTGATCAGGCTCTTAGAGGAACAAATTCGACCACTATTCCGCTAATTAATTTACATACGATGCGGTGACCAAAGTTTCGCCAAAGCGACGTAGCCAATTACGTGTAATTTTATTGTTACGTATAGAATGCAAATTGAATTTTATTCCTTCAATTCTTTCCCTCGACATAATTGTAATTGGGTCATAGTTAGCTAGTTTACTTGCAAGTAGTCGTCATGTCTCTCCAATTCCCATATTGCGTAAAAATAAGCGAATTACGGCGGCGTTTTGAGGTCCAACTCAATTAGCGAAAAGAGGGGGCATGCATTTTTTGCGAGTTGAATTTGTAAATACCCAAAGTTCAATAGGTCAAATGTCTCTCATCTTTGTGTGGGGCGGCTAAATTTATGGATACATTTTGAGGACCTAATTGACCCGTCAATGACGTTGCCTATGAACATGTGCGGTAGAGCGGCTGTGCCATGTCTCCGACATCTTATGCGTAATATAATTTGACTCCAAATTCGATAAGAGTAGATGTACTGTAGCCTTTTTGAAGGAATAATGAAATGAGTTTTGTTGAACCATCAAATGGTTTTTATTTTAAGATTGTGCTGACAAAACAAACTACGATGCACCTGGGCAACAGTAACCGACCATGAATTCCGAAACATGGCTTAAGTTTAGGAAAAGAGGCCAGATCTTATAAAAAGTCGTGTACCGCAACGTTCGGTAACACGTAGACATTGTAAATGAAAACCTTTTGCGTTCTCGTTCTGTCTGTTTATGTCAGATAAAAAACGCGAATTTTCAGCGGAGAAAAGTGGGTCAATTAGCATAGCCAATTGGCGGACACAAAGCATATAGCTAGCCTTTCTGGAAGGTCGCTGGACTGAAATCAGTGCGAGACAAAAGTTTTCTTTCCACTCTGCAATTTCTGGCTTTTCGCGCCGTGCAATACGCTTTACTCGGCTGTCGTTTTTCGCACAGTACAAATGCCAAAAATCAGTCCGGCGACGTTCCGGATAAACTAGTGGATAGTTGGTTGCCTTGCAAGTGATCAACTTATAACCAGAGATTGCCATGGCTCCGGAGCCGGCTCTTGGCTCTGGCTCTGAGCGGCTCCTAGCCGGGAGCCAGAGCCGGAGCCGGAAATTTTGGGTGCGGCTCCGGCTCTCGACCACAAAGTCGGGCCAGGCTTCTCAGCGTTCAGAAAAGTAAAAATTTTGTGATCTTGTTAAACCAAGTTGTTCGAAAAATACTGGGGAAGATGTGTTGCGTATCTCTGGCACTAATAATTTTTATTTTTGAAAACATATTTTTAAAAAAAAATTTTTGCACGGAAGCAAATGCGGGATTCGGAGCCGGAGACCTTTTTAAATTTTGAACGGAGCCGAAAGTTTGACCGTGGCAATCTCTGCTTATAACTAATTTTATTGTTTTGAATATGAAATAAACAGTTTGAGGTTCAATTCACAACCCTAAAAATTCTATGAAAGTTTTTTTTACATTTCCACTTCCCTTTTTTAAATCTTTTTTTTATAACAAGTGCAATAACATTCATGAAAACTTTTTGTCAATTCTCCAAAAATAAGTCTGCAAACATTAATGCAGCCGGTTGTTAAGGTTGCATTGGTAATCGCTGAATCTAAACAAAGTCATAACTCGTTTAATACATGTTGTGTACGAAATGCGTTGTCTCCGAGTTGAAATGTCATTTTCGAGGCATGTTTTGATTGCATTGCGCGATAATTGCATAAGTTTTGGAAGTCGTGGGCTCAAATTGTTTTTAACGGTAGCTTTTGGTTTTTTTTATTTCATAAGGAATGTAATGCTATTTATTTGCAATTTTTGGGCTACAGTAATTTTATGGGAGACTTTTTGTTTTGTTGTGGTAGCTTCTGGAAGGTGTTAGGATTGTTTTTTTAGGGTTACGGTAATAATGTTTTTTGCATATTTTGCGTATAGGTTATTGTAAACCGTGAATTTTGTTTTGGGTTACTGCAAAGGTTAATTTTTTAACTTTCCTTTGTATTACTTACTCGTGAGGCGTTCTTTAGACTGCTGTAGATTTTATATAAATGTTTTTTCCTAACGTCTTTTCTCGCCGAACTTTCTTGGACTACTGTAATGTTTGGAATGGGTTTTTACTAAAAATTAGATGGGCAACCATAGTCTTGAGCACAATAATTATGATCCATAGACCACAAAATTTTTGTATCATAAAGATAATAGCTAATGTCAAAAAATTAGAGAGTAAGGGGCAAAGTGCAGTGCATATTTTGCAAAACATACATAATTGTCGGCTTTTGGGACAAAAGAAAATGGCAGCAAATCGCACGTAATAACCGGACTGTTGCGGTGAGATGTTCGGCTTGGAAGAGATGTTTTGAAATGAGGAACGGCATTTTACGTTCGAGAAAACTTTTTAATGCTGCAATGACATTTTTTGAGTAAAAAATTGTTGATAACGCATTTTTTGTCTGTCTGCTTTTTCGACAGCGTAATGAATTCTGAATCGTGCTTGAAATACTAAATTTGAAGAGTAAATTGAGTTGAGAAAACAAGTGAAGAACATTTCAATTTCTGCATAAGAAAAGAGAAGGTAGAAAGCAACCACAAATCGCTTTGGGGCCACAAAAATTGGTCTGATACCAATCTTTAGAGCAGCATTTACTGAGACCCTGGCCACAGATGTAGGGGCAATTTTGACTTGTCAAACGATATCAAGTCAAAATTGCTCTGATTTGTGCTTTGTATTGTACTTTGATAATGTCGCCAGGGACTGTTAGGCACTACGACTTTTCGGGTCAACGACAGTTCGGGTAAACGATACAATGGATCGATCCGGTTTTTTGCATGAGGAGAAAGCTTAGTAGTTATAATAATAAGATTGATCGGGTCCTAAGATAGTTTATCACCTATTTCGAGGAATTTGCACGGATTCATATCGAGATAGCAGTCGCGGATCATCTTTTTTGCCGCACATTTTGGATTTTTATATGTCACAATTACTCAAGGTAAAGAAAACTAACGTTAGTAACAGCTAAAGTCAGAAAAAGTGGACATTTTACAAGCCTTAAGCAAAGTCTCTGCCGAATCTTCGCCAAGCATCCGCCGACCATCCAACGGCTTTGCCAGGCCTCGCAAGCACTTTCTGCAACCTTTTTTGCGATTTCGTGTTGACCCGAACTGTCGTAAACCCAAAAAATCTTTTCCTATCACTTTTGCACTATGCGTAGTATATAGCTATGTACACTGAAAACT